TGAATCAAGAGCATATGCTGTTTGTGATGTATGCCGTAGCGATGGTACAGCCTGGTTACACGGCGGTCTTGGACCACAAGGCAGGACAATGAATACACTGATGAAATTAACAAGAATGAACTAATTTATGAAGTGATGCTGTTTCTGTTTTCTTTCATCGGTTCTTTCTTTCTTCTGTTTTGTAAATCAAATTTCAATTTCTGTTTTTGCGGATACTTGGCGGGTGGAGGGAATCGAGTGAGAGACGCATTTGTTTTCTCCCCCTCCCCTGTCACCTTATTTTTCAAACAGTATTGCGTGTCTTTTGTATGTATAGTCTTTATATAAATAAATACTCGGTGAAGTTATCAGTCCTTTTTTCTCCCCCCCCCACCATAGAACTGAATGTTGAATATGTATAGCTTTACTTTACTATCCTTCTTTCTCGTTATGGATCACAAGCTGTCTGTCTTCAGTAGAAGAGAGAATCATTGAAAGTACTAAGTAAGGGATAACTGTTTCGTCCGTGTTTGAAACTCTTCAACAGCACTATTATTATTTCCTTTAGTTCCGAGTGGAACATAATCTGTCTGTTTTCGACATAGATCTTTGCACATATGTGCTGCAGTTCAAGTCGCCACACTCCCTCCTTGTAGCACACAAAGCAAGAGAAGAAAGTAGGAGAAATGCATATTAGAAACAGTAAACAGAGGTGTGAGACAAAGGAATAGTAATAACGAAGAACAAAAGAGTTTCATTGGAAATCATAAGTCACAAGGAGTGGATGCATCTGGACCATCACTGATAACGATTTCGAGCCATGTCACCGATTGTTTCCAGCCACTGGTTTTGCTGTCCTGAGGACCCCAACCAGGAAGTGTAGACCTTCTTACGTGGAACATAGTACTTCAACAGCATATATCCATTCCGTTCTATTTTCTGCTGTCCAATTTAGATCGGCCCATGATTACTCCAAGTCTCTCACCTCCTCTCCATCACAAGATCTCCTACAATTCACGCTCAAAGTGACGCCCAACTCGTCGTTTCCCATTTCGCTACCACTGGAGAGGTGACCTGCACTGAGTGCAATGTCACTCGATGGTCTCCTCAGCATTTGTTCAATCCATTTTCATTTCTTTCCACATATTTGTTGACCAATAGGAGGCTCTTGTTTGGTTCGCTCCCACAGTTTCTTGTTGCTAATTGTTTCTGACCGACTGACCATCTGATCGTCACTTCGAACCCAGCGAAAGGGGTAGCTGTTGATAAAATTCTGCAACCTGTTCGAAATGCCCTTCGTGACGCGCTGGCCAAGTTTTCGACCCACATAGGAGGACTGACTGACTGACTGAATTAACATTGGTGTTGAAAATCCGAATCTTATTGTTTATTCTGTGGAGTGCGAAATATTTCCAAACTGAATTCAGAGTGATGAAGGTGTACCTTACCTTTCCTATCCTTGCTGGTTATGATGTCCTCATCTGTGTTGTCTATCTGTAGTTGAAACGATGCTGCCTAGATAAGTGACGGAGGTAGCCTCTCTGAAATTTCTCCCACTGATAGTGACTGGTGCTTGTTGTTGTTGGTTGTCTATCTTCATCACCTCCATCTTCTCTATATTCACCTGGAATCCTGTCTTTGCCGTCTCTTCAGACAGCTTATTGGTTTTTACCTGTATCTCTTCGAGTTTGTGTGACATGAGACGTAAATCACCCACGAAATCCAGATATTCTAGCTTCTTTTTATCCGTCCAGTGTATTCCTGTATTCTCGCTACCTTCCCACCTAATCTGTTGCATAATGCAGTCCACTACAATTAGGAATATCGTCGGTGATAATATTTATTTTTTTATTATTGTTCCTTTGGGTTCCTAGTGGAACATAGGGTTTCAACTGCACGCCTCCACTTGCTTCTGTCTTCTGCTGTACT